GTAATCGTGTCAGTGGCGTATGTCAATTGCCCCGATTCAAACGTAAACACCCTTTTAAACGGATGTAAATTCAGGGGTATAGAGAAGACGTTCGGTTCCCCTCTTGGGACCCCTTATTGTCACGCGCACGCGACTGGGATATAAAAAAAGGAACTTGGCGTCAGGTGTTATTCAAATATACCCCTTTCAGTATAATTAAAAGTGTGTTAACACACTTGCCCCGCGATCTCAGGTTAAGGGTCGAACATTAACATTATATACATGTTATACAGGTACCGAAAAAAACAAAAAATAACAGAAGGGGAACGCAAAATACATGTTAAAGTCGCATGCAAAAGAAAACTCTTTTTTTTTAATAATGATTGTCATTCTTGACAGAATTGAAGTTGGTGATCATCGGTCAAAATGTTGTGTTATTCCATTATTGTTGGGTGAGGGTATACAGAGTGGTCACAGCGAAGTGAGTTTGTCCGAGAAACCTCCGGTTAAGGTAGCCGGAATTAAGGTCGAAAAACAGATATAAAACTTTAATCAAATACAGAGCAACAGATCATACTTCATCATCATATTTGAAAATTGCGTTTCGTTTTGAACATGCCTTCTTTTTGACGACTTACATTTGACACCACATTTATTGAACAAATATATAAGGTACGGACACCCTTTATAGCATGCTTTGGGTTTTATACAGCGTTTAACATTAGCATTAGCATTTAACACAAAAGTTGTAGGATGTGCGTTGATGTAAATTTTAAATATATTTTTAAAATGGTGGTGGTGGTCGTCCAAAAAAGTGTAGCGTCATAAAATATATATTTTTTAAATAACACACCCTGTATTTTTTGGCTCATTTAGGTTCCTCTTTTTTGTGAAAAAATATTTTTTTATTTGCTTGGCAACAATAAATAAAAGGAGCAATAAATAAAAAAAGATGAAAAGATCCTTTTGCACGCTTGGAAAAAATATTGTTACGAATTTTTCGAAAGTATCTAGGCTCGTTTAAAAATTTTATATCTCGGTAACGGTAGGTCCTAGGGAATTGGTACAGCGTCGAAAAAAAAATTGTCTGTCCGTTCTCCGTTTCGTCATTTGGATTTTACCAAATAACTCTTGAACGATTTGAGCTACGAAACTGTCGACTTGAAATTTGGCATACATATGGAGCTTAGCTTCCTCACAGATCCTATTGACATTAAGCGAGTTGGGGAGTCCGGAAATATTTTTAAAAAAATAACTTTTTAAAATATACAGGGTGTGACCGCTATCAGAAAAAAAACTGAAAATTGGGTTCCCCTTATAATGATAATTGCCCATAACTAGAAGTCTGCGTTTCAGTTGTCCGTTGTAAAACTTTTTTTATATTTTAAATTTCAACACACTCTACCTGGTGTTCGGGATATTCTGTGCTAAATTCAAAAAAGAAGTAAACGTTGTTACCCACATCTAAACTGAAGAAACTGGAAGTAATCAAATCTCGCCAAGTATTTTATTTTTAATTTTTAAAAATCTACTTATTTTAAAAAATAAATGAAGTGGTAATTGTGGGAATCATTCATTTAACAGGACGCGTTTTTCAATAAGTCTTACGAGAGACACAAATCAACAGTTTTATCGTTTTTTTACGATTGGATCAACGTAAATAAATATTTGCTTGCTATTTACGTGTATTTCATTGTGAACAAACAATACTTAGATTAAGGACGGACTTTTTTCCCGTTTATCTGTTTGAGGTTAGAATTTCATATTGTTCTATTTATTATCTTGCTGAAGTCATGTGCTTTTATGTCTTTGACAATAACTGTCACTTTATCGCCGACGGATAAGGTTAAAACCGAAAGGTTACACACATCGTCAAAGATTTAATTTTTATTCATTTCATTTACAAATCACGATATAAACTGGCTAAACTTATAACCTATCAGAGCATAATATCAATTTTCCTGCTACTGTCAAATGACCTGTTCTACAATAACGCGGAAATGCCGACGGAGGTCCCGCCCATCATAATCACAGGCGGCCGTCCCAGCGTCTCGTATAAAAAGGTGAGCCACGTGCGTACTATTACACGATAAAAAGCGGTAACAGGTATAGGTAGGGAGCAGAATATTCTAATCGTATTTAAATTCACCCTTCGGCGACCCCTTTTAAATATTTATGCACGGTTAACGCCTGGGATTACAACGGATTCAATGGGTTCATTTTTTGACGCAGGTACTGTGATACGCGAGACAAGTTGTTTTACAAGTGACTCCGACAAATGAGTCGGTGTCGACGTCCTTAGCGCAAGCGCAGCTTAATGCGGAACTGTAGCTCCTTTTGTTTTCCCACTGGTTTGCTATTCATTACGTATCAGATTGGATCATTGGAATATATTAGAAATGTTCGAAGTTAGCCGTTGCAATGTCATATAATAAATTAGCGCACATCTGTCTAAATTCCTCCATAAATATTGCCCTGCGGTGATCGGTTTGAAAATCGAGATACGCTGACGGTAGGCAACCAACGTTGCAACGGAGACGGGCGATTTGCCCGACGACAATTATTTTTCGCGTCGGAGATCTCGACGATGTCAATCCGTTGCAAGCGGCAGTTTGGGTTTGCAATACGCACACACAGCTGGCAGATACGAATAATTGCTGACTCACCCCCGTCCAGTTAATGTCGACACACGTCGCGACAGTAAAATCGACGCTTCGTGTCGTTTATATCGTTTTTCTTTCCCCAATTGAGCGACTTTTGCGCGTTATTCAAAGACGCCGAAGTATACCGGGTGTCCGAAATAAGCTGCCGTAGTTTTCAAACATTACTATCAAACCGTCAATATTCTATGTGCAATTCTACATGCACAGTGTGCTATAGAAAAAAAAAACAAATTTGTATTAATAATTTATTGCCACTTAAAGAATAAAATCAAATAAATTTTCATATTCAAAGAAATAAAACATATTGAGGCAGCATCATGCATGATACTCTTTTTACGAAGTACATATTATACAAGGACACTTATACAATACATTTAATGTTAATTATGTACATTTTTTGGTACAGTTACATCTTTCAAGAACTTTTCCCACTAATTTCGCGGTCATAGTTCTATCATCTTTGAATAAAAAAAAATCTTTCTTGCAGCTTTGAATCTGGTAACGTCGATATTGAAGATTGGTTTTTGGCGGCTTTCTTGGCTTTTTCAAGTTCTTGAATTAGACGTCTCTATTGATGGAATGGAAAATTAATTTATTGGTATTTGCATACTCTCTGATCTTTCAAAAAATCTCGCCTCGACTTTGCAGCTGACATATAGATATAGGTGCGGTAATGCAAAAGATCGGGTTGGTTTAATATCATTAAGTCCAGTAAATAAAAAATGTACGTACAGTCAAAAACAGCCAGCCTCAGTATATCTATTTATTGGCGGAGAACCCAAAAGGTTTCTCTTAAAAGCTCGATAACGTGGCCGAATGTAAAACGTTCCTCCCAGACGGGGGAGAAAAAAAAGAAAGAGAAACCTTTTAACTCGAGTATAATTCAATTTAAATAAGAGAAAGTGTCCGACGGGGCTGGGGGTAGGGCGCGGTAAGGGCAATCCGTCGCCGTCCGTCGTCGCCGCCGAAATCGTCATGGGGCGGGGCGGGGGGGACCCAAATGGACGACAGGACGTGCGAATTCGATAAAGATTGACTGTTTTAGTACCCCACTTGGAACACGGACCCCGCTCCTTTATCATTACGCCGTATGGGGCGACGGTCCGTTTAAGGGGCAAGGAGGGGATGGAGCGTTTAAATTTTTTAAACCGGACTTTTGGGAACGTTACGCGCAAAATTTTAACTACAGGCGAAGGGGTGGTCGTGTAAATTTGGGTGCTGTTTACATTTTATTGAAATTCCTTGTTTGTAGAAAGAATTTTTTTTTCGATAATTTCAAATCTTTTTTATAATTTTTTAACGTTTCTTTATTATTTTTTAACGACAGATTTATAAAAGATTGATCTGTATAGATTTTTTTGTTAATTATTGGTTTTATAAGTAAAAAAATGTTTGGGGAAAACGGGAACCATAACTTTGGACTAGCAATTTTTTTCTTAATTTCAAAAATAGATGAAATTAATTATATTCATGGTTTTCAGATGTTACTACCGTTAATTCAACTTGTGAAGCGTCATTATATTTATTTATTTCTATGGTTATTCTTACTTCTAATATTTTTGTTTTATTGCGGGGAAACGACAAACTTACTGAAAAAATTCAGTACACTGAAATTCTCTAAAAAACTAATAAATTTTTCAGCGTTCACTTTCTCGAAATTTCTGTCAAATATTGATATATTCTTTAGAAATGCAAGAAATATTTACTGTTCTAGTGACCTCGATACATCTAAAGGTTAATTTTCAATGTCAAAAAATGGAAAATTTTTGAAATTTTAGATTTTTTTTGAAGAACTGTAATATTCAATTATTGTTGAAGATTTTCCTAATGTCCTTTAATTATTATATCACTTTTGAAAAGTTTTCAGAAATTTGTATCAATCTCTAGTATAAACGGATAAATTTTCCAAAATCATTTCCAGAAACAATCCCTACAACTTTTTATTCACATTTTTATATAACTTAAGATAAACTGTGGGTGGGATGTCAAATTGCGACTAAACATCCTGTAGTAAGACGTTTCTCTGTTTTTTTTTTATTAAAATAGGGCATGCATAACTTATATGGAGTACAGAATTACAACATGCCGTATTTCTTACTATTCCATCCATTTTAGTTGAAATACGCGATATGCGAAGTATGCTAACGGATGTATTGGATAATATTTTTTTGCCACACCTTGATCGGGTCACAGAAAAACTTATCATTTTGCTTTGCAGGATTCCTCCTCTCTCGATTCCTACCCTGAAATTCCTCTAAATAACCCACCATTTTCAAAAATACTTCGGAATTATCCTGAAATTCATTACCCTTGAGTGCCGCTCGATTAAATATAAATCAAACAAAATATCGGACTTACTCGGCGATAATCCTAGTCGATTCTGGAGAGCAATTTTCGATTCCTCCGCGGAAGGCGGCTGAATTTCTGGCCGCCATTGCATTTCCGATTCGCTTATCCATAGTTTCCCTGAAACAATTGAAATACGCGATTTAATTAATGTCCGATGATAGACACTCAGGCGAAATATTCAAACCCTGTCTCGTATTTTATCATAAGAAGTTTTTTTATAAACTCTCTCGCGGTTTTACTTTCGTTTAACTATTTTTCGGTATCACATTTTGTTCTGTATTTTTGTTCCAGCCTTCATGCGGGACCTCACAGAACCCCAATGTGCCCCCCCCCCCTCTCGGCTCGTATTATTGTCGCCGAAAGACAACAGACGAAATTTTACAAAGGCGGCGGCGCCGGGGGGAAGAATGGGGGCCGGGAGGGGCGGCGGGGGCGCAATCTCCGCCGGAGCCTCGCCCTTTAATCTTCAATTTCCCGAAAAGTTAGTAGTCAAGCTTTCGTCCAAGACCGGCGGCTGTGTGTGCGTTGATGCCGTCGACCAGATAAAAACCCCGGTTAAATAGAAGCGAAATAGGGGGGCTATTTTATTTGTATTGGGGAGTGCCGGACGATCCTTTTGAAGGCCCGCAATTCCATTCGACAACGCGAGGGGGCCCCCTCTGTAAGTAAATTGCGGAGTGGGTTTTTCTACAAAGCGAGCCCGCCGCCGCCGACGCCGCCGCCCCCGACCGCCGCCTCGTGTAACGAAGTTTCGTGAAAGCGTGGACGCGCGGGGGCAGCACAGAGCGATAACTTTTTTTTTTATTTTTTTTTACGGAACGCGGATCGAGTTTATAAGTAAATTCCATCGCGCTCCCGCCATTTTGACCTGAATTAACATGAATTAATGTGGATACATCAACGATTTATGTAATTCAATAATCTCAAATAGAATGTACTGAAGGTACACGTATCTTGCTAGAAAAAAAAAACACTACAGCTTGGATGAACAAAAAAATTTAGATTACACGGAAGGCGATATGTTGTTGATTTGAAGGTTAGAAAGCTATAGTCAAATAGCTTAACCCGATTTTAACTGGTAACAAAAAATAGTAAAGTCTGTTCATAGATATAAAGAAAGTGACTAACTGATACGAATTGAGGAAAGACCCGGGCAAGTTGTAAGAATGAAATATGGCCGAACAGGTCGGTACTTTGCTTAGAATTTAATTATTTGGGGTTTTGTTAGGAAAGATACTAAACAATATTTATTTATTTATATATTTATTTGTTTATTTGTTTTACACTTATCAGTTATACTTATGATGCCCCTTTTCCGGAGTAACGTAAATGTCGAACCAGGTTTCATCCAAGCATTTGACTAGACTCGCACATATTATGCATAATTGTATTACACACGAAATAAGAATGATTACTAATAAACTTAAACTAAGTAGTATACCAAACCACAGAATATTTAAACACAGGTAGATATAAAATTATTTTCTTTTAAGGACCACAAATTTACCTGAATTTAAATTCCGAAACTTTAGGTAATAATCTTGTTGCATTGTATCTTAATCCCATTCAAAAGCAATTGGTCACTTTCTTATATCTATGAACAGACCATCTATTTCTTCTCTTTAAATTTTGGTTATTATTTATTTATTTGTCTATACAAAGGAGGTTACTTAAGAGACTACTTGGAGCAAACTAATTATAGAGCAACACGAATTAGAAAAAAGAAGAATATTTATAAAATTCAGTACAATACAATATAAGAAATAACGCTGGGGGTAACTAACAAAGGCGATGAATACGGGAAGTAAGTGAAATGTTATTAAAGATATTCTGGCCCTAATAAATTTTTTAAATTAGTATTAGGTCAATACCGACGTCCATACCAACAATCTTTGACAATATTATTATATAATCTAATGTATCGTATACGAGGAGAGTTAGCAAGATAATTAGTTGAGAAATTCGGGATACTGAAAGTTGATCTGTTCCGAATGGTATAAGGGCTAGCGTTAAGAATATTATATAAAGTTTACACATTATTTACACAATATTTTAGACATTTCTTACCATACTGCCATATGATGTAATTAAAGAAGCTATATACGTATATACGTATGTAGTTCCATCTCGCGGATAATGTTTTAAAAACAATTTCAAAATGACATAGCAGAAAAATTAGCCAGTAATTCGCAACATTTCATTCACTTTGAGGTAGAAATCTACGTTTTTTTCTGTTATTTAAAAAAGACTATAGGAGAGAAATTAGCCAGTAATTCGCAACATTTCATTCATTTTTTGAGGTAGAGATTTGCGATTTTTTCTGTTATTTAAAAAAAACCAAGCTTGACTGGACAAACAAACGGTGATCTCATACGACAGTAAACAAAATCCAACGTACACACAAGTTGCTTTAATACCAAACGTATACATTACAGTGTTTATGAGTGCAACTGGAAAATATATTTATGGAGGAAGATTTAAAATCGAATTTTTCACCGCGACGCAACGCAGATAGAATATATATAGGAATTATAAGGGTAAGTTAAACTGATGGAGGCAAAAAGTTTTTCTCGGAACTTTTCAGTCATTCGACTGGTTTTTCCTGTTTTTTTCATTTCATTAATTTAATTTAATTAAAGGAATAGCAAATAATTTGGGCATTTACTCAAGAAAAAGTTCAGGTTCGCAGGTTTTTAATATATGTATTCGTTTATAATAAAAACTTTTTAATCAAATTTGTAATATTATCAATAATATATCGGATGGCCCATAGTGGCTCATTAGAAGCATCTGGATCATTATTTACATTATACGTGGTGATGTAAGAAGAGGTTCTCTATTTCTCTAAAATATTTTCAAGTTTGCAGTGTTGCCGCTTCCATATAGGTAAACGTAACAACATCTTGGTTAGTTTAAAGGGCACCTTATGTATATCACTTCACTTTTAGATTATATTTAACAAATAAAATAAATTTTGTTCAGGATACCGTAATCGACATAAAAAATAATTTCCTAGAGAACTTTTGCAGAGAGGCCCTGGACGGGCTCAGGCGGCCTACTGGAACACCATTTCAGATCAAACATCCTTAAAAATTAGATTTTATACCAGAGTTCTCGAAACACGGTTTATTGAGTTTTTCTAAATACCACACTCTGCAAACTAACGCAGTTTCCCGATACACTTTTACCGTCTTTAAGATAAAAATTAATTTTCATAGTTCTTACGTAATATCAACATTTGAAAGAAAGTTTCGCACGTAGACAGAATAAATTTCGAAAATCCTCATATTCATTTTAAGCGTATTGCCCTTTTTAGAAAGCGAATGGACAATCAATCAAGGCAGAAGATTTTTTCCTATCAAGGACAAAGGCCTTCTTTGTAAACAGGGTAACAATTTAAGAGGTCATACTTTATTAGATTTTATTAGATTATTATAATTCCGAAAAAAAGCGCGAAACAATTAGAATGAAATCAAAATTAAATGATAATGGCGAAACGACGTGTTCAATGTTGATATTATATAAAAATCATGAAAATTAATTTTTACTTCAAACTTGAACAAAATTGGGTTAGTTTCTTTCCTTGAATTCGAAAATAAAATAATATACACGGTGTGCTATGTAAAAAAACTCAATAAACCGTGTTTCTAGAACTCCCGCACAAAATCAAAATTTTTAAAACGCCCTGTATGTTCGATCGACATGCTATGTCGAGAAAGAATGCCTAAGCCCTTCCAGGAACTGTCTGGAAAAATTCGGCTTTCTGGTTAACTAAAGCACAGAACTATTAAGATTTCTTCAAGGGTTCAAAATGGTTAAAAACCAACGAAATTATTTTTTAATTCTCTAGCGGTAACAGATAGGTGTATAGAAATCTGAGTCACATGTATGTTTATATAGAGGCGGCAATCCGTTCATACTTCTAGTAGGCTATTCCATATGCTATTTTAGCAACTAGTCCAATTAATTAATTAATAATAATACTTTCTTTTTCGTTAAAAGCGTCTTCCGAAATTTCGAATGTCCCACAAAAACGCTGTAGCGTAATATCGTAACGAAACATTTGGATGCTGCGTCATTTAGCAGACACGCGCGCGGGGCGCGGGGTGTGAGACCGGCGGGGGTGTATTGATTAGGGCGACCCCTAGTTAGCGCGCTCGGGCCCCCGGCATCCCTCATCCGTCGCCGCCACCGTCGTGGACCGGCGCGCGACTTGCGCCCCGAATACTAAAGGTCAGGAGTGGGATAATTTAGACGAATGCGACGGTAACGACCGGCTTTCCGCTCCCACAAATAATATACATGAACGAAGTTTGTAATATAATAATAACAAAGGTTTGTCAAATCAAAAACAAAAACCAGCAATCACGTGCAGCCAACTTACATCCTTAATTGAATTAGATGCAGCGATCAAAAATATACTCTAATTATTTTAACAAAAACGAATCAAGATGTCTTCGTGGCAGCTGTAGAAAAAAATCTACGCGCTACAAATAAAATAGAAAAATAACGCAAGGAATAGTGTAGTATCCGAGATGACAATAAAAAGTGACATAAAGACCGTTGCAGATATTTATTACTCTGTTGCTGATTTCCAAATTTATATTTTATAATTTTTAACTCCCTTTTCTCCTCTAAAATAACGTAAAATTTTCAAAAATTTTGTTTTTCAGCTTACCTTTATACTTGCTTGGTTTTAAGCTTTCTTTGACGATGCTTAATCTATGCATGGTCGCGTTAACAAGACAGTGGATAAGAATAGTCATTTTTCGAAAAAAAAAAACTGCAAGTGTCGAAAGATGCTTCATACTTTTAGTTGTTTTAATTTTAAACAGGGGCAATAACAGTTTTCCATCTAAAAATTTGGCATGTCCCAAAAAGGTGCAATGAAATTTATATTTATTTATTTATATTGTGCGTTACATCCCCATCGTATCGGTCTGAAAACTAAAATCTTTTCTTTGCAATTGCCCTAATTGCAAAGTATCGTATTCGGGTATTCCTTGATGAGAGTTATTGGTAAATTGGACATCACAAACTCATAATAATGTATTATAAAATACATATTATTATTAAATAACGACAGATAACACTCTACATTGTTATTTTAAACATTT